GAGAGGTTGTGGTGATGCTACGGGGAGCCGTAGTACTCACTATTCTGTGAGAGGTTGTGGTGATGCTACGGGGAGCCGTAGTATTCACTATTTAGTGAGAGGTCGTCATGATACTGCGGGGAGCCGCAGTACCCACTAGTCAGCAAGAGAATATTGTGATGAAGTGCTCTCTGATCAGAGCTTGACGCAGAAGAGTTTTAGGCTTGGGTAGCCCTAATATTTGAGTTTGTGGAAGCCTGGGGTCGAACCAGGGGCGAGACTGGGGTCTCCATGATTGTCGGAAGTCATTATATTCTAATTTGAGTGGTGGTTTTCATGACCAAAAGGAAGTGGATCAGTGAGGTACGCGTGGGTTGCGGGTCATGGGTCGCGAGTTGAGTGTTCGTTGGGATGAGTGGTTCCAATTTTGTGCCAGACCAGACTCTCGAGTTGAGTTTGATTCTAGTGGTGTATTGAGTAGATGGAATGAGATGCCGGATTCAGAGATGAATTCCATATTGTGGGGTATGTGAAATGGAGCTGAGGCTTATGGTTATTTTCATGTCTGAGGACACTTCTGAGCGAGCATGATTATTTTCTTTTGTCTGAAGGTAGAGTGTTGAGAATTCACTGTTCGGATGGGTTAGTATAGCAGTTCAGTGGATGAGCCCTGGTGTCCGTTCCTTGAGGCGTGATCCGGATTGTTTGGTACATTGGTATGAGTGATCGATAGCCGATTGTTGAATTTTGTCTTGTGAAATCAGAGGAGCAGTGAGTTATCAGGGTTTGAGGTTCAAGGGGCGACTATCATGGTGATAGCATGAGTGGGCGGTCTGGCGGCGGGCCAAGCGACTAGAGTTTCCGATTTTGGGAAGGTCAGAAAGGGGTATCTTAGCGGCAGAGTGTTCGATTTTGGTTCTGGATTTGGGAGTTCCTGTTTGGACTCAGATATCAATGGAAAGATAGTGGTGGGATATGAGGTCCTTTTTATTGGTGCTTCTTGGGTTTTTTGGTTTCAATCTGAGTGTTGATAAGAAGCGATTTCGAGGGCGAAATCTAATTAAGTGGGGGAGAATTGTAACATCCTGATTCGGATTGTCCATGATTAGGGTTCGTGGGCCACAAACCGGGCATGAGGAAGTCTCGGGTTGTGGCGAGTTGCTGGAATCGTAAGGCATCTCATCACCTTCCCGTAGGTATGAGGATCTTTGGAATCGGAGTTATATCAAAGAAGCTATGGAAGTTTGGAGATTTGGAAAAGATGAGTCCCTAAAGTGGAGAAGTGTGGCAGCGAAGTACGCTGGGCGTACATATATGCGTACGCTTAGCGTACAAATGAGCGTATTCCTTAAGCAAGAGCCACCTAGTACGCTGGGCGTACCAGATGGTACGCTGGGCGTACTAGGCACAAAAGGTAAACCCTAATATTTGAGGTGACCCTATATAAAGAATGAGATGGCCTCATTCCTGGCCACCTTTCTCAGAGAGCAAACCCTCCAAAACCATAGTCCTTCATTCTTGGAGCTTGTATGTGTATTTAAGAGCTTTTGAGAGTTTTGTGTGCCCTTGAGGAGAAGTAGAAGCCTTGAAGAAGAAGGAGTTGGAGTCCAAGCTTCTAGATCCGAGCATATCTGAGTTGGGACCTTCTTTTTGAGGTATAACACTTCAAACTTTACCTCTCTTTTGTTTTAAGTATGTTAATGGGGTATTTTAGGGTTTTGTCCCAAAAAGGTGGAGACTTGATGAGATCCTGAACTCCAGAGACTAAGACCCTCCCCTTTTGAGCTTATTAGTGGTGTAATGTCATAAAAATGAGACCTTGGGTGTTGGAACCAAGTTATGCATGAGATAAGAGCTTAATGGGTAAAGAGAATAAGTGTTTTGTGTGTTTGTGACTTCTTCAGCCATGCAAAGGCTTAAAGTCGTTAACTTTATGGAGTAGGAGATGTTAGGAAGTCCAGATCCAAGAGATGAGTTAAGGTCTTAACGGGTTAAGACCCAAAAGTTAGTTTAAGCAAAACTGAGAGTACGCCCAGCGTACTTCTAGTACGCCCCGCGTACTGGGCTGAGGTCCCCGATCAGAATTGTGCATGCTTGAGTACGCTGAGCGTACCAAAAGGAGGTACGCCCCGCGTAACTCCTTTGTGGGCTTTTGGGCTAAGTGATGTGTTGGGCCTTGAGTGTTGGGCCTGGGGTTCGGGCTTCACGCAATAGAGCCTTGGATCAGAGAATCATAGGTTTGTGCTTTGGGCCCTTGAGTTGGGCTTGCCTTTTTGTTTGGGAATTGGGCCTTGTGTAGGCCAATTTATTATTGGGCCTTGGTGGGCCCAATGGATATAGGTCATTGATGGACTGGTTGGTGGTCTACCTTTAGACCCAACGAGTGAGAGTTTGGGTCGAGTTTCTAATTAGGATAATTTTGGGTTTGGCACAGAGTTAGGGGCCGGGGCGTAGCAGCAGCGTTTATAAGGGCTGATCATCATCCAAGTTGATTCTTCTCACTATACATTACCTAGAGTGGTATTTATGTGTAGACGAGAGGGTCTTGTATGCTATGTGTATATATGAGATTATGTGCATTGTGTTATATGTATGCTATGAGTTGAACAGACCGGGCCGGAGGGCCCAACGATATAGACCGGACCGAAGGGTCCAACGACACAGACTGGACCGAAGGGTCCGATGAGCTATGACCGGACCAGAGGGTCCAACGAGCTACGGGACTGGAGGGTCCCGCTGAGACACATCGACCGGAGGGTCGTATTATAGCCTCGAGTGGCGTATGTGTTGTATGTGGTAGTTTGGGGAACTCACTAAGCTTCGTGCTTATCATGTTATGTGTTATGTGTTTCAGGTATCTCAGAGGATCGCAAGAAGGCACCGGCTTGATTGTACACACCAGAGGAAGAGTTATGTTTTGAGGATCCTGGATTTTTAATGGAGCTGTGTTTTGTAATTTGAATAAACGAGATTTCCATACAATATGTTATGAAAAGTATGCGATTTTAAAATGAAAAATTTGTTTGAAAACTTACGGTGTTACAAAATCCATTTTTTACAATGATCAGAACCAACTTGGTTTTTAATCTCCGATTTGAACAGATAACAACATAAACAAAATGCAACCTCTAGCTTTATACTATACTCCATCCAATATTTATAAGTATCAAACCAAGATGGATTAAATCTACGAAGTCTACCTTCGATCTCTCTTTGTTGGAAAGAATGATTCCGTGGTTGGTAAGGTCCTTTTTGCTAGTAGACTCTTCTAATTTCATCCTGTTGATTTACATGGTAAAGTTCCATACTAGGTCTTTCTCCCGGATCCGCGTGGAGCGTATTTAAATCAACTTTTATGTATTTTGAAGGAGGAGTTTGTTGCTCATCGTTTCCACGTGGTTTTTCATTATCATGAGACGAAGAACTTGTTTCGTTTATCTTTTTGAAAAACCTTAGCATTATAACTGGAATAAAAAATAATCGTCACAAAGTCATACAAATTCAAAAATTCTAAATCTAATTCTAATATAAACAATTATGGTTATTTCCATAAAAGACCCTATATTTTGATTTTTTTTTCTTTTTAGACCTAAAACTTTTTTCTTTTCCGAAAAAGACCCAACTTTTACCTATTACTTGTTATTTTAGACTCTAGCAGGTTACCAAAAGGAAAATTAAGTATTTTCATTTCATAAAAAACCCTACATTTTGTACTTTTTTCCAGTTTAGACCTAAAATGTTTTTTTATTTCAAAATTAACTCAACTTTAAAATTGGTTACAACCTTTAACACTAGTTGTATAAGGTACTTAACTACGCCGATTTGATGAAGCTTAACTTCGTTCATGCATAAACACGTGATTATATCCGTTCAAATTAAAATGAAATCTTAAATTTTATTTTGGTAATTATTATGATTATCCTTAAGAATCAATAACAGTGATATAATCTAAACACCATGTATACATAAGAGAGATTAATAAAATGAGATAGTAGGCCAACTATTCAATTTTCTTTTCTCTACAATAAAATTTCATAGTTTTGTCAGTTTTGCTCATTCACCACATTCCAACCATTGTATTAATAATGTCAACCATCGTATTTTGATATTTAAGTGTGCGGTATCATTCTTGTTATTTGGATTTTCAACTTATGCTAAAATAGTTTCATTCCCAAAATATAGTTTTATGTATTCATATGTGATGTTAAAATTTTTTAAGAAAGTCTTAAACTTGAATCTCATATATCTAAACAAAACTAATACGAATGTTTAGGATTAATATTTTTATGTATTTATTTGATATAATTATAACAAATTATTTAATAATGGGCTAATGCTACAAAATATTATATGGCTTTGGTTTAGGAGTATGATAGTGAGTGCGTTTGTTAACTGTTCTAAAAAAATTGCACTACTAGAAAACAGCCCTTTAATGACGCGCAAACAATGACACTCGCTGATAGAGGACGTGCATTTGTGTGTGCCCTAAAAAATGATGTCAGTTTTGCAAAGTTTGAAGGATAGAGGACACGCATTTTGTGCGTGCCCTAAAAATAGTGTCCAGCAAATAAAGTTAAAAACACGGAGGGCACCTATCATAAAAAAGTGTGTCGTCTAAAACTGTCGCTTTATATTTTTCTTTATGAACGCGCGTTCTCCAGTTTTTTAATTGCCAAGGGGGGGAATGAAATCCAAAAAAATAAAAAACCCCGCCTTGATACTCTCGTCCTTCTTCTTCTGTAATGTTGTTTCAAAATAACGCTGATTTTCTCATTTTCCCCTATTTCTGTTAATCTAAAGATTGGTACTCGACATGATGCAACTCTGATTAGTATTCCGTTTCCGATTCGTCTGAATTGAGGGTTTTTTTCCGTAACATTTCAGATTAGGAGTTCATATAGGGTTTTTTTGATTAATTACAAAAAGGCGTTTACTAATTGCTACTTTGATTATTGGTATTTGGAGTTTGATTTGTGAGATTAGTAAGATAGTCAGGCGATCCATGTATGGGGACTCAAACAATGGGATCGAACGGTGGAACACAAAAACCTGTGTTCGATGGATTGTCAAGGCAAGGATCTCTGCATAACCTAACTTTAGATGAGGTTCAGCAGCAATTAGGCGATTTAGGGAAACCTTTCAGCAGTATGAACCTTGATGAGTTTCTGAAGAATGTTTGGAGTGCCGAAGCTAATCAATGAATCAACAATGGCTCCTCCCCTGATTACTCCGAACTCACCCAACTCGCTTCTGCTTCATCTTTGCCTAGACAATTGAGCCTTACATTTACCAAGGATTTAACCAAGAAGACAGTCGATGAGGTCTGGCAAGATATCCAACAAGATCAGAAGAAAAAGAAGACGAATGGTAGTGAGAGTAACATTAATAATACTAGTAGTTGTAAGAGACAAGCTACTCTTGGTGAGATGACACTCGAGGACTTTTTAGTCAAGGCAGGGATAGTGTCTGAATCTTCTTCTCCTGGTAAGAAAAACCATGAGCAGAATCTTGATCCACCAGAAGCACAGTGGATGAACTACCAAATCCCTCAGATTCCACAGCAACAGGTGGTTATGTCAGGCCATTATCAAGTACCACAACCCCTCCCTCTGAATGTAATAGACACTGGTTATCTGGAGACACGTATGACATTGTCTCCTACCCCTTAGATGGGGAGTGTATCTGAGTTTGGAAGGAAACGAGTTACTTCTGGAGATGTGATAGAGAAGACTGTGGAAAGGAGGAAAAAGAGAATGATTAAGAATAGGGAATCTGCTGCACGCTCTCGAGCAAGAAAACAGGTATGATACTAAACTCCTGTCTTCTTTCTCATTTTACATTTTATAAATATGTGATGAGAAAATGCTGTATTGTTTAACAGACTTACACACATGAGCTGGAGAACAAAATCTCACGTTTGGAAGAGGAAAATGAAAGACTCAGGAGGCAGAAGGTATGTATATCTGTTTCTCATAGTCCTTTCTCTCTTTTTCATGTTATCCAGTCTCTTCCTTACAGGAAATGTCTTAATGGAATGTTACTTGTATGTAGTGTTACTGTGATAAGATCTGAAAATTATTTGTGTATTTGTTAGTTAATGACCTCAATTTATTTGTGTATTTCTTAGTTAATGACCTCAACAACACTTAGTGGGACGGGTATTGACCAAATGGTATTTGGACAAGCAAATATCACAAGGGACAACACCAAGTTTGTAAATGGAGCAATTGTTGGGGAGAGGAATGTATTTCAGGTCAGTGAATCTAGGTTTGTTTTTTCTTTAATATTTATTATTTTCTCTTTTCATAAAAAAGTGTTTTTTATTGTTTCCCATGTCCATTATCCATATCCTGTCTATATAAGATCATTCAGCTGCTGTTTCTTTTCGACTCAATAGACTTAAAGACTTAATCTGGACAGATCTATAGTGGTGACTTATTTTTATTCAGATGTTAGTTGTTTTTTTTAATAAATATTAGTGTTTTTGATAAATCAGGGCTACTCTGAGGAAAATCTTGATGGAGGAAACAAGAGTTCAGAGTATATTCATGACATTGTTATCAAACATGCTGATCGCCATAACCTTTTGCGCCCTGAAACCATTGAATAATTGTTTGTTCTATATCGTATCACAGAAGATTCAAAGTATGTTCTATTATTATTATTACTTTTTTTAATCTTGATTATATATATTATTTTTTATGATATATATTAATTTTTTTAATGTTATTATTAGATATCGTGAATGGGGTTGGTCAATTTTTGAGGCGTTTGAGAAGTACACAAAGGTTGAATTTGGTGGCTATACCTCTCTTGATGATGTCACCATGCTTCCTCCTAGAAGAAGAGACAAAATGGAGACTTTTTTCTTGGGTGAAACCCTAAAATATTTATATTTATTATTTGGAGAAAGTAACGTTATCCCATTGACCCAATTTGTCTTCAACACAGAAGCTCACCCTATTCCCATCATAACAACCAAAAAGGAATAATCCATTCCTCTTTCAACAACCCAAATTATATCATTTGAGTTGAACTACAAACACCAACAGGGTTAAAATGGGTACACATCAACAATTACTCAAAAGGGAAGGAAATAGGATATGATCATGTTGATAATTGTTATTCAGTGAGCGCAAAAAAAAAATAGATAGAATATCTCTTGTTGTAACTGCTTTGCTTTTGAAGGCAATGATGATGAGTTAAGATTATCCAAGTTTTTAGATTTTGATTGAAGTTGAAATTCATTTAATTTCCATTATATATTATGCTTCTAAGTCACATTATAATCATCCCTACATTCACAATCATTTGAAAGGAGAAACAAGTGATCCCCAGCTCTTATTACACTCAAATCATCTACTTCTGCATTCTCCGAGTTGACAACTTTCACAAAATTACACCCTCCAAACTTTTGACCTACAAGTCAAAGTACACATCATCAATCATCTTTTTTATTAAACTTTCTACTTTTAGGTTTCATGATTTGATTATTATATATTAATTCACATAAATAGTTAGAGAACATACCTGCAAAGATCAACAATTCTTCTAACGAATCTGGTAAGATTATGAGCTTTGGAAGCTGATTTCCTGATGTTTTTTTCATCTTAAACTTTGCATGAATAGTCACCCTTCTCATTGACTTTTTGACTGGTGGAAGTGGAACTGCTTGCTGTAGGCTCTGAAGATGAGGTGGAACAACTCGGGTCCCGGTTTATTGTATGTAAGTATGTTGTAGTATTTATTGTTTCGGGCTCCACAAATTCTATTTTGTGTTCGTTTCTTCTATTTTCATGACTTATTAAGAGGTTATATATGCTTTTGTTTCCTTGCTGTTGAGCTAAAGTTTTCGGTGTGCACCCTCGTAAATCCGGCTTGTTCACATTTGCCCCTCCTTCTAGAAGAAGTCTCACCATTTCTAAATGCCCTTTCTTCACAGCAACATGAAGAGCAGTTTGACCTTCTTCTGCTGGTAAATTGACTTTCACATTCATTTCCGTCTTATTTTGTCTAAAATTGTTCATCTGTTGTTGGTTTTTTATATCATCTGAATCTATATAGTCTATATCACTTGTATAATTATGTAAATCAGTGGAAGAATTCTCCACTTTTTGTGAAACAAGACTAGTATTCTCCACTTTTGACCACTCACTTGATTAGCATGTCCAAAGCTTTCCAGGCCTTTTAGTTTCTGTTAATAAACAAACAGACAGTTATACATATTGTTTAATATCATATTTGATAAAGTGGCCTTTCCTAGGGTTAAAATGGTAAATTACTTACCATGTAAAAATTGTTCATGATGATGAATCCATCTTGTGTATTTGTGTGAAAGTGACTGAAAGACTTGAGATGTTTGAGGAGGAGAATACTAGTCTTGTTTCGCAAAAAGTTTATCTTTCTAGGGTTGATGTATCTCAAGATCTTACACAACCTGAGATTTATCAACAGTGCACAAGCATGATCATGGAGCCGTTATTATCCACCACCAATGATGATAAAATTGACTGCAAGATATTGTTTTTGGAGGTAAATAGTAAAGATGATGGATGGATGGTTTTACTTAGCCTTTTCAGTTAAGTGTGAATTAAATTTGTGTTTGTGTTGCAGGAGAGTGTAGAAGGTAATTTTAGTGATGGTGGTTTGGTGTTTGGTGGCATGATAAATGATTCTGTGTTTGAGGTTGGTGTAGTTGAAGAAGATTAAGTTTTTACTGTAAATATGTGCTGGGTTTATTAATTAATATGTTATTGTACTTTGTGGTGCAGAAAGCCATGTTTGTTTACAAGAAGCAAAAGGAAGAGTTGTATACAATGAAGATTAAAGTTACAGAGGTATGTGATAATGGGATATGGTTGTTTCTTGTTCTTTTTTACTTAATGGGTTAAGCATTTATTCTGGACAGCTATACATGGCTGTTTCTTTTTTACTTAATCTGTACAGAATGTCATAATGGGATATGATGTTGCTTGGGGGCATTTGATGTTCTAATGGGATATTTATCTCTTTTGAATAATTTTTCATGTTAATATTGTGTAATGGGATATTTGCTTTGATTATGTAGGCACTTTTCCTTCTCAAGGTATCTCTAATGTCAACATCTGCTTTAACTAATTGGCTAAGTGTATTACTATATAGGAAGAAACCAAAGGTAAATCATCACTTGAATCCCTTACAATTTATTTTAGGAAAAATACACCTATTACAGTTGTTGATAATGAGCAACATTTGTAATTTAGTATTTATGACTTGTGAAGTTGGTTATAAACTTTTGGTGCTTGATTGAACCATTTTCAAGTAGCTGATTCTAGGCATGAATGTGGAATGTGTTAGGTACAAGCTTGTAGAAGAATACTTGACACTGGTTGATGCATCTTCTAGTGGTGAGGTTGCAAGGCTTAAAGCTCCATGGAGATTGTCAAAGGAGAAATTACCCACGGGTTCCTTTTAATGTACATGTTTTGTTTTTCTATAATAAATATTATGCAATATTAGCAATGTATTACATTTACTTACTATTGGAATGGTTATTTGTATTTGACATATTAGTGTAATGAATTATCTTTATTGTTTATGGTAATTTATTTTGTATTATGAGACTCTTAATATGTTATTTAATTTGAAAATTAGTAAATCTATCAAAAATATATAATTTTAAAAACATTTAAAATTATGACACGCAAAAATATGTGTCGTCTTCCTTTATGACAGGGCTTCCTTGATACGCATCGCGTGACATAAACACGCGCTTCGTAAGGTTACGACACGCAATGCATGTCGTCTTCCTTTATGACAGGGCCTTCCTTGATACGCATTGCGTGTCATAACTGCGCGTCGTAAATGCGCGTCGTAAATAGACGACGCGCAAAAGCGTGTCGTCTCTCGTTATGACAGGGCCTTCCTTGACACGCATTTGCACGTCGTTTGAGCGTTTTACGACACGCATTGCGAGTCGTAAAATGTTGTTTTTCTAGTACTGTTGATTAAAAAATTCGGCCAAAAAAATAATATAGAAAAGTGAGAGAGGGAAAATATGTCCAAACTCACCAAAATAAGTATAATAGACAAACTAAAAAAATTATTTTGTATATAGTTTGTTAAATTATATTGTATTTTTTTCTACAAATAAAAAAATTTGTTATTATGTTAAAAGATTCTTCTTAGCCATGTATTATCCATGTTATCAGAAAATATCCAATTAACATCAAACTTTTTATTAGCTGTAATAATAACATTTTCTATAAACAATATATTAAGTTTAATGATATAATATATATCCAAGATAAAGTTTAATTATATCTTTTAGACAAAAATAAAAATTTTCAATTCTTTTAGGTTATATTCACTCAAAAGATAATAGATTAGATAACATTTTTTAGTGTATACATGTATACTTTCTTTTTCGGTGTAGTCAAGAAGTACCTTATATATTTGGTCTTGAAGATTATAACCAATTTTAAAGTTGAGTTTATTTTGAAAAAAAAACATTTTAGGTCTAAATGAAAACAACTACAAAATATAGGGTCTTTTATGAAACAAAAATACCTAATTTACCTATTGGTGACCTGCTAGGGTCTGAAATAACAAGTAACACATAAAAGTTTGGTCTTTTTCGGAAAAGAAAAAAAGTCAGAATATAGGGTCTTTTATGGAAATAACCCAAACAATTAATACAAGTTTACTAATTACAAATCATCTATTAATTTTAGAGCATCACTGTTAATATCATAAAAGTCTAAAGCAAACTATTAATTAAACATATAATACAACTATACTTCATTTAATGATTGTCAAATAAATAAAATTTAAAACCATAAATGATGAACCATTGTATAAAGTAATTTGATAAAATGGTAAATTTGATTTAGTACATGTAATTTGATAAATGGTAATTGTAAATATGATTTCTGCTTTTTGGGAATATGATATTGTGTATGACATGCAGGGGCGGAGCCAAAAATTTTTTTTAGGGTGTTCCTTATATATATATATATATATATATATATATATATATATATATATATATATATATATATATATATATATATATATATATATATATATATATATATATATATATATATATACATATATATATGGCCGACCCAAAATGGTAATGGGCTTGGGTTATGAACTTATAATCTATAATCTGATGATCGAATCGATTCTATGATTATAAGTTCATTTCATACCGGACCAGACCGGAATAGGGTTATATACATTCTCATTGTGAGAAGGGGTCATTTGAGCGTTGATTTTGAAGGTGTAAAATAACCCCTTAAATACAATTTTTTTATATATAAGTAAATTAAATCTGAAAAAGAAAAACTAAAAAATAAATAAACTTATCTAAGAATGGAATTGTGCAAATTTATAAAATTTAAGGTATGAAATATGTAAATTTTAAAAACTAACTTATTATAGAAATTGAATTTCTAAATATGAGGAGCTAACTTTAAAAATGAATTATTTAAAAAAACATGCCAAAATGTAAAGCCATGGAATGGATCCCATAGTCTTTAAGGATTTGATATTATGTGTCTTGCCAACTCAACTACATATGTTTTCTGAATTACTTACACCCAAATATTATTTTATTTTGAAATA